CTATCTTTATACATTTTCAAAAATATTATTTTTATTTTGGAAAAAAAACAATTTGTAAATATACTTGTGATATGAATTTTCTATAACAAATGTATATTTATGACAGCGTAAAATTCAATTGAGGAGTAACCTCCCCTTATAGGAGGCGCTCGTATTATGCAAAAATATAAAATAAGACAAATATTATTTATGTTTGTAAGGGAAATTACTTTTTACAGATTTGTTCAAACATAATAATCTGATAAGAGCAAATGTTATCAGAAATGTTAAGTTGTAAACTATGGTTTTCGTGTAGATAATAATTTTTGTTAGCAGTAAAACCCATAATACATTAACAATGGTCAATGACTGCAAATCTCTTGTTTCAGCATAAGGAAAAGTACCATTTATTTTATATTACCCGTTTTATTTTTTCTCTTTTTACGGTCAAATAGCCTTTTGGATAATATTAACGTTGTGGTATCCACTTGTGTGCACCTATCTTTTGTCCCATGTGTTTAATTAGTCAATCCCGCAACAATAGAACATGTACATATATATGCACTTATGCATGTATATGGATATGAATCGAGTTTTTTGAAAAACCCATATCACGTATATGGAAACCAAAGAAAAATAATAATGACCAGTGGTTTATTGCTAATGACGATGTTAACGTAGTGACTATAATTATTGCTCCAGATAAAACGGGTTTTGGTCAGCAGCCGCGAATACAAGAGGGAATATCGTACCTTATAACTACTGTTCCTGCAGGCTAAATCGTAGGTGTTATCAGTTTTGGCGTACACACACGTTAAACATATAATTGTGTACATAATATTATAATATAATATAATATAATGTTAGGTACATTATACGAGCGAAGCAGCGGCGGCGGTGCCTTTGTGTTGCCCACACTGAGGTATATAAAAAAAAAAAATACAGACTCGACCGCACGTTACAGGGTGAACTCGATATTGATGTACGCATATATTACATAGGAAGGTCTCTAACGCGTTGAATAATAATGTCTGTTAGAGTTGCTCACTGTTTTTATGTTATATCAAACCTTATATTTTGTATATCTACATATATTTTTTTCAACCGTCAATCACAAATTATTCGACCGGAGGATATGATTTGCTGAATTACCATATAATCTTTGCACGGAGAGCGTGTCTGCCGAAAAAAAAATTGTAAAAATAATAAAACAGAAACGTTTACCCTATAGTATAATAACGCCGACGCGACGTGCCCTAGGCGCAGTCAACGTTTGTAATAATAATAAGTAAAATATTTAAAATCAAGTATAACTGCTGGCAGATCGTTTGTACAACAACAGCAAAGTATATGTATATATAATAATAATAATAAAACATTATAATCATAACGCGATTAAAACAGTGTTTTATACAACCATATAGGCATATAATAGGTGTATCATACACAAACACACACGCGCGCACTCGGTCGAGAGCGCTTGCATTGTCGCATTGGAAATAAAAAAAAATATTCTGCATATTAGTACGCTCGCTTTGAATCACAACGCATACGCATGCTTTTTATTCAAAAACCGTTTGACTCAGGTACGTTATAAGAATATGAAATTTCTGTTATAAAAGTATTGTTTGTAATATGTTTTTGTATATTATACGTATTATTACTATTACAGTTTGACCATGATAGTGGTAAATATAGATCAACAGAGAGTATTTCTCTCATAGAATATTTGTAAATAGTAATACTTATTTGTATTGAATTATTGTGGTTGATTAATAACATACGATTTTATAAGGAATTTATACTTCAATGTTATCTTCGATAGTGCAAATTAATTTTGTAGGTAGGGTGGAGTCGCCACCTATGGCCAGTACCCCTGCTATGGCCAGTCATTTTTATTTTATTTGTAAATAGTGTAATTTTATTGTTTGATTATGGCTATGATTATTGTTGTATTCATCTACATCAATTTATTAACTACTAGCTCTAAGTATAACTCGGGGCCCGTTGGAATCGCTGAGAGTGGGTACCGATTTTGGAGACAATGAATTATAAAAGTCGCAAAGGTTGTAACTTGTAAGACGAAAGTTTAGGATTTGTGATAAGGATTAGTGATATGGATTGGAGATAAGGCTAGACGCTTTGGCGGGAATGTTAAAAGTTTGAGTGTCTAGCAATCCGTCACAAACGTTGTAAATGGATAGGCTGGATACGATCTCCAGGATCACCTATATAGAGTATACCTGCACATAGAGTGGTATGTGCCGTAGCATGACCGGTGCTTTATCTTATGTAAAAAGTGTAAAGTCGAAAACCGTGTTGGAGTTTCTAGCAAGTCAGTCATCTCAAGTCAAAATCTATTAACTTTCAAGTTAGCCACTTAGGTAGGCAATCCGACTTCGTCGGATCGCGGACTATATGTGCTACAGCAAATCAGGTAGGCAATCCACCTGCGGTGGATTGCAGACCCGACATCAAGCGGCTATAAGTGAAAACCCTATCACACAACTTACGAAATAATTTACGAAAAATTCAAACTATATACATACAAACAAATATGATATGTATTTGTTGTGTGATGTAATATTACAATGAACATTTTGAGAAATGTGCAATTATAATTCCTAAAAAATATTAACATATAGGTAGATAGTTAGATACATACTATTATATTAACCAATACATATAAACATGTACCTATAGTGTATATATATTAATTTAAAAAAAATTGCAAAAACCTGCATGTTATTTGTAAAGTGTCTATCAAGTCAATCATCACCGTTTAAGACGAAACTAAAATGAGCAATCCGTATATCACCTATATATAGTAGGTATATCCCATAGAGTGGTATGTGCCTTCGCATGTCCGGTGCCTTTTCTTATGTAAAAAGTGTAAAGTCAAAAACCGTGTTGGAGTGTCTAGCAAGTCAGTCATCTCAACTCTCAAGTCAAAATCAAGATTAACTTTCAAGGCAAACCGAAATAAAATACAAACTATATTTATATAACAATCATGGAAATTTTAAAAAATATGCAATTTTAATAATTCCTAATAAAACAAATATAATATGTACCTATTTATTGTGTGATATAAAATGATAATGACTTTAAATAATAATAATGTACGATATGTTCCTGTATTATTATACAGTGAAACCTGTATATAACGGACAGTCACGGGACCAAAATAATTGTCCGTTATAGACAGGTGTCCGTTGTAGACAGGTTTCAATGTTTTTAATCTTTATTAATATTATACGTACATACATAATATTATATGTATTATACACATACATTATAAATTTAATTTTAATTATTTATTACAATTACAATTATTATTTTTATATTACACACATACAATGACACATTATATTTGTATAAATTTATTAATTATTTCTTAAAAAATGATTCTATTGATGTTTGTTTTTTGAGCATCGATTTGGTCATTTCCAACTCGTGATGGATAATTAATTCGCTCACATATGAAAATCCTATGTATTTTTGTCCGTTATATGAAATTGTTGTATTAAATATTAGTGTCCGTGTCCGTAATAGAAGGAGTCCGTTATAGACAGGTCGAAATACATTAGAATGCCTATCTTTTTGCCGGGACCTGGTCATTTTGTCCGTTAAGAGAGGTGTCCGTTATATACAGGTGTCCGTTAAGTCAGGTTTCACTGTATTATTATTTAATTTATATGAAAAATAACGTGAAAAAAAATGCAAAAAAAATCGGGATTTGGGCGGCCGTGTAAACCATATGGCATTGACGGTTTCAATGCCTGGACGGCGTACGACGGATTTGAACCCGGGACCTACGTGTTTCCTGCCTAACGCCTAACCTACTCGGACACAGTTTGAGATATGAAAGACAGTGAAAACATCAACAATTAAGCCGTGCGACTACGGAGCGACGTAAACCGATATTTCCGATGTACATCGATGTAATCGCATATAATTCGCTTGTAATACGCGCATCTCCCATATATATATTTAACGGGGCGTGTGAAAAGCGTTTTCCGTTAATAATTATTAAATCATAAGGAAAAATTAAATTATACACGTATATACATGTATATATACGCGTACGGCTGGTCGGTCGCCGGCGTAATTTCCAAACGCGATTGCGAGGCGAACGAACGGTTTTGGGGGAAAAGCGCATATAAACGGCTTCAAAAAGACTCGATTCGGACACAAACGGGTGCGAATAGACGAAACGGTGGGAGAAAAGGAAAAAATCGGCAAAAAAGTCCGGTCGGGAGTGTATTTATTGATCGACATTGAACACGAATATAAACCGCACACCGGTTACTTCGAATTAAGTATATAAAAGGGCGAAAAGATATCGTGTAAAAACAGCTAATTTTCCGAAAATCGGCGAAATGATAGGAAAACAGGAGATAACGAAAAACGTTTTAAAACCGACCGCCGCCACTGCGAAAGTACGCGATTGGTCGCGCTATAAGGAATCGACGGGACACGGCCGGCGGGCTGGGGAAACGGAGCAGTGCTTCATTTTTTACGCCATGGGTTCGCTATAGCCGGCGTTTTCCTTTCCATTGGACGCCAATATTATCAGTCAGCTGTTCTTCATTTTATAGTATTAGATATGATTACAATTATTACAAAAACAGTTGAGAACACTGTAAAAATATTTTCCAATATTTTGGTTATCACTTTTTCATATATCTCTTATCAAAATCCTTAAGAATTACAAACATGTGAGCATTGGGAATTTGTGTTGGAACATATTCAGTTTAAGTTTGTTCCTGTACTACCAAGTAAGTTAAATTCAATGTAATTCATATATTTAGTTGTTTTTACTTAGGTACATTGCATGTTGTACAAAATATAGGTGGCCATTGAGGAAACTCAATTTCTTTAAAAACCCATCTATGGCCACTGGCATGGCCATAGATGGATCATAGATGTTTCCTTCTATGGCCATGTAATAACTTTTTTTAATAATTAGTGTTCCAAATCACAATGAATTTATTTAGTTGTTTATTTAGGTTGTTTAAATGGCACCAACCAAAAAAAAATCTGTTAACACCACTCCAAAAAGGTTTTTGTACTCACCTTCAAAAGTAAAATTAGCATTAAAGGCTATCAGTGATGGTAAATATTTTTTACATAACAATACCTCAAACAATATAACTTATTGAATAGTTAACTTACTTAATGATACATTTTTATATAGGGATGAGTACAAGTAGAGCTAGTCAGATGTATCACGTACCTAGGACAACGCTGAGGAACAAAAGTAGTGGAAAATCACCAGAACTCTCAATAGGCCATAGTGGCACGATTTCCGTTTTAGGGGAAGAAATGGAAACAACATTGGTACAGTGGATTTTGTCTTGTGCAAGGATGGGTTTCCCAGTAGGTCGTGAAGGCCTCTTATCATCGGTTAAAAAACTTGTGGATGAGGCAAACATCAAAACACCTTTTGCACACAATCGTCCAGGAAAAAAATGGTTTTATGGTTTCCTAAACAGGCATAAAATACTTTCACAAAAACATTCTGAGTATGTGAACCGAGCTAGGGGATCAGTTACAGAAGCCAAAATTAAAAACTGGTTCAAAGAAATACATGAACTGTTAGGTGAAGATGCTAATATTTTAGAAGAGCCAAATCGAATTTTTAATATGGATGAAACATGCTTCAATTTAGCACCTAAAGGGGAACTGATTATTGGAGCACGTGGACAAAACGTATATGATGAGCATACCAACTCGGACAAAGAAAATGTCACAACGTTATTTGGAACAAATGCATTAGGTAAATGGGCCCCTTGCCTTACAATATTTAAATATGAGAGAATTCCAGCAGCTCTTGTTAAAGCTGCACCATCTGGTTGGGGAATTGGTAAATCGGAAACTGGTTGGATGACTGGGGAAACATTCTTTGAATATATAACAAACATCTTCCTACCATTTCTAATTGAAGCTAATATTCAGAGACCAGTTATTGTTTTTTTAGATGGCCACAAATCGCATTTAAGCTTGCATCTAAGTAAATTTTGTCGAGAAAATGGATTAATACTCATATCATTATATCCCAATTCAACACATATACTACAACCTCTAGATGTGGCTGTATTTGGCCCTCTTAAAGGTAGATGGAAAAAAATAGTAAAACAGTGGCGAATCGATAATGAAAAAGAAATTACAAAATCAGATGTACCTCAAGCCTTATCACAAATAATAGATGATGCTGGAATGGTAAATAATATTAAATCTGGCTTTCGTGTAACTGGTTTATATCCATTTAATGCTGATAGTGTTGACTACAATAAAATCATTGTAAGAACAATTCCAATACATGAAACTACATCAAATATTGATGATATAAAATCACACATAACATTTATTGAAAATCACATAAATAAATTTGATGTTGATCTTGTAACGGAATTCAAAAGAACATACAAAGGAAAGTATGAATGGGATGGGAAAGTAGAAGCATCATTACTGTATACTTTATGGTCAGAAATTTTTGAAGACATTAATAAAAAAGAAAATGAGATTATCCAAACTGATAATACTATTGCAGTGATTTCACAAGTATCAACATCACCAACATTACAACATCGAAATGATACTTTAAACCCAGAAATGTGGTCTAATATACCATCAACCAGCCAAGCAGAAGACACACCACCATTTAGTACGGAGACACAACCATTTAGTACCGAGACACCACTATTTAGTACAGAGCCACCAAGTATGCAAACATGTCCCGCCAAAAGGTCATTAGCAACAGTATTTAATGATATTATTAAGTGGCCTGAACAACAGCAATCAAAATCAAACAGAAAAAAAGAGTACACTCCAAGTGTTATTACTTCGGACAAATGGATTGAGTTTCATGATATAAAAGCAAGTGAAAAATTGGAGAAAGAAAAACAAAAAGAAGAGAGAAAAATAGCAATGCTGGATAAAAGAAAACAAGCCGAAATAAAAAAAATTGAGAAAGCTGAAATAAAAGCCAAAAAAATGAAGCCTACAGTAGTTGTATCAGACACAGACAGCACAGAGTCAAAATTGAGCTGGAATTCTAAAGTTGATTCTAGTGATGATGAACTGTTATCACAGCCAATAAATAAAGACCTACTTCAAAAAATGAGCAATTTGAAACGAGACCTTAAATCTGGTGATTATGTACTGGTGAAATTTAAGCCTGTAGGAAAAAAAAAAATTTGTTATAAATATGTGGCGACAGTAGTTAAGGTAATTTCTAAAACTGAAGTGGAGGTACAATATTTTGAAGCCTCTGATGAAGAAAATACAGAATTTGTACTAGTTGAAGGTGATGTATCTGTTGTAGAGTTACAGGATTTGGTTTACAAATTGCCATTGCCAGAATTATGTTTTAAGAACAGACAATATGTTTCTGTTTTCCCAGGTATTGTTGATGTGTACGAAAAATTTAAATAAGACTGAAGTAACATTATGTTCCTATAATATGCAATATATTTCTATTATAATATCCTAGTTTTAAATCATTAATATTCAATGTTTTTATTTAATAGTTTTTTTTAAGTTTTTAATGTTATTTTATTATATTATAAAGATTACCAAGTGTTTATTTCTTTTATGTTGTTTTAAAGTTGCTTATGTTATTTGTATATATTTATAACCAGATCAGAGTTTTTTTTTTATTATTTACCAAGTAGTTGGATAGGTATATACTTATTTGTTTTTATTTTCATAGGTAGGTACCTAATTTGTTTATGTTTATATAATTTGTTTTGGCAAATAAAAGTTCCTGTCATATTTGTTTGAATTTATTAATTTCATTAATTAACTTGTATTTTTTATCACAGTTACCTATCTAAGTATTAATAATTATTTTTTAAATAAAATAAAAAATATTTTTACAGTGGCCATAGAAGGGGAAAATGACTGGCCATAGATAGATTTCATGTGGCCATAGAAGGGGAAAATGCAATTTTAAAATATTAATACAAATTTCTCATTCAATAATGTTTTTTAAGACTTGAAATTCAAACCAAGTATTAGGGATCTTATGAAGTATGTATGGTTAAATTTTCAATTTTTTTCTATGACCGTAGATAGAATAAATTGAACAGCAATAGAAAAAAATTCTTAAGGTGGCCATAGGTGGCGACTCCACCCTATATTATATATTATATTAAATATGTTGCAGAATATTACAACCAAAAGAATAGAAATTAAATTAATTTTACACTATATTTTTAGAAATTGTTTACAAATAACTTTAAAAGCTGAATAAAAGTTTTCAATTTAATTATTAATATAGTTCACTAACGCTTGTCTAAGTGAACATAACTTTGAAGATAGTCATGGAATCATTACAGTCAAAACGTCAAACTAAACAAAACAAACATAAAGAGTATCTCAAACTATAAATCAAGTTGCCTATGAAAACACAAGCGAATTTCTAAAATAATAATTTACATAGGTACCTAATAATTTATTGTTGGTAGTTAGAAGTTACTAATATCACTATTGTTCTTAGTTAATAAGTTAACCAATTAATTTTAAATATAGGTAGTGTTTAAAATATTTTGGCTAACGAAGTATTTTGTTCAATTACTTACACTACAATATTCGATGAACTAAACTGCAGTAATACAAATTCAAATTTGCTATTATAATTTATAATAATATTACAAAGTATTAAATTAATACTTACAGCATTATAACTAGACCTCCATTATAATTTATTTTTATTTAAAAAAAAATCTATGGATACTCAAGACTTTGGTACACTTAAATTATTTATATAACATAGGTTTACCGGGGCTCACAGACAAGAGAACCACTCGAAAAAAAACAAGTGAGAGGGCAGTGAGAAACATATCCCTTTCCGTTTTTAAGCACCTAGCATTATGGCTGTTTCCACGCAGAAGTCCATTAGTCACAGGGGCCTTTTTACACACATCCATCAGAGTCGCTAGCCCTCCTCACATCAATAGTGTAACGATTGTATACATCACACGCACCCTGTGTGTTGAGTTAGGACGGGAGGTAGACAACTTTGACTCTTCCAATGGCCGAGCCCCCCGAGATAAAGAAGCCCGTTCATGCAGGGCACACGGGGTGCATGGATAGGAGCGGCGAGACTGTAGGGGTGTAATCCGTTTTTACTGGAAACGGATCAATTTGTCTAACCTTTGCCCCGGGCTACGGTAAATATCGTCCAGTTTGGTCTCATTCCCGGCCCAGTCAGATGTATCCGGTTGAAATAAATCGCTTCGGATTCTAAAAACTGTGCGATCGTATGCGCCGAAAGGATTTTACGAGCTTTATACGAACCCCTAGAGGCCACAGAAATAAGTTTGTTTTTCGCTAAAAAGACACGGCGATTGACAATTCGTTTGTTTTATGCTATGCAATATCCGTTTTGTCTTAACTTCCGAAGTAAAACCTTATTTCCGTGTTTGCATGAAAAGTATATGTTTAGTTGAGAGGATGATAATCCGAGGAGCAGAATCTAGTCGTATTATATCTTTTTTCGATTGATTTCAAAATTGAAAAAAATAATATATTAGTTATTACTGAATATTAAACCAGATTTTTTTTATTCTTTATAGTAATATATATAATATTATAATAATATTTTAGGCAATTGAAAAAAAAATTATTTTAATTTAATATTTAATGTAGTGTACTGCGTAATATATTATATAGTACTGGCGTATTATATAGAAAATAATTTAAAATAATATAATGTATAATCGGGTTGATAAGTGTTAAGATTTATGAATATATAAAACATACCTATATAGGCATGAGTTTGCGTAAGATTTAAAACTTGTTTATCCGTTTGAAGATAAAACGAGTTTTTAAAGATTTGGATAGGCCTTGTTATATTTTATAAAATGTATGAAAATATATGTTTATTATAATCTTAAAAATCTTAATATTTTATAAATATAGACTTGACCACACAAAATATTAATTATGTATTTTAGTTAGCTGATTTAAAACGTATAACACGAAATGATCGCATTAATAATAGTATCTAAATACTATTAGGTAATGGTATAGATAAATATGAAGCATGAAAATATTCTTTAAGGCATCATTAAAATGTAAGTACAAAATATAGATGTACGATATAACTCCTAATGTAAATAATTAAAACCATAAAAATAGTGCAATATAATAAAGTTTAAAATTTGCAGTTTAGCAGCTGCTATAGGATTGTGAGATATAATATAACCTTTTACTGAATTTGATTAACAGGGGAATATATCAAAAGCCAAAATTAATTATCATCTCGTAGGTCTTCATTTAAATTTTAATCAAATAATCCGTGTATAATTACGGAAGGACTCACCTCAGAGGCTCAAAATGGCAAAGGTTAAGGGGTTCCTTGAATACATTATTAATAATCAAACTTTAAGAAGTCTCCTACCATTAAGCTTTCAATGTTTAAACTTAGGTATTATGTATAACAAAGCCTACCGATATATTTAAGTCATGAAATTGTTTATGTTATACATAACTGATGTACATAATATATAGATACTATGAATACGTATATGTTTGAAAAATTCGTTTTTCTCATTAATAAGTTAAAACACAAGGAGATTAATCATTAAACAAACTAAAATTTTCAAAACATCATCTATTAAAAAACCACAAATGTTGAAATATTTTTTATAACCTTGTTGAATATATGAGTTTAAAAAATGTAATAACAATAATTAAAAAAAATCCTTAAGAAATAATAAAATAGGATACAAATTGTGTATTTAAATTATTGTACTTTCTCAATTGCAAAAAAATATTTCAAAAGGCGTATAAAGTGTAATAGAATAATTTACGTCTGTATATTTATATGCTAATTACGATGTCTACACTTATATTTATCGTTTTATTAATACATAATGATCGGGTAAATTATCTCTCTTCGCTATGTGTTTAAATTAAAATGTTCAAAATACGTTCCAACTGCCAAGACCACCTTTTAAAATATTGAATGTTTAATTCCCTTTTAAATAAATAGGATTATTTCTTATAATTTATGTTAGGTACATATACGTGAATCTATGAACACAGTGCTTAGTGTGCTTTGAATAATTGAATCACAAAAGGTATAGAGCACTAATTTGTATTAACATAATGGACAACATCTGAATTATTAAAATACAATTTTTTTACAACAAATATTAAGCTATAGGTACAGTATACTGCCAAATTTGATTTGACAATTGTTTTTAAGTATATTTTAATAATAATAAATTACTATATATACTAGAGAAGACAAATTTATATTCTTATTTCACTTTCAAGAAATAAAAATATTACGTGCCTGATATGAATAATATATCGATTTGATTTAATACTTTGTAAAATGTTTTAATTCGTATGCAAAACACCATTTTAATTGTCTCGTTTATTGCCTGTTTTCTCGTGTCATTCGATTACTTTGATCCCCTATCATCGTTAGATGTTAGCCTCTTAATCTCACACCATAAGTCACGTTTGGGCAATAATGTAACCCCCCGGTCGTTTTTTTACCCGAACAACATATAGCCGGTTTATTGATAGCGCTTCACCCGTGTTCGTGAATCATAAGCGAGGATCTCACCATACCATCAGCATATTATATGCCCGGTATCTTTAAATCCTCACGATTTTTCAATTTTCTTTTCTTTATTATTAATATTATATTACATTTTTTTTATCATAAAGGGATGTCTGCATAAATAAACCATTCTGCTGACCCGAAATAGCACATTTCACATACGAACAACCAACCTTCCTCTATAACGAAATATCATCACGTTGACACTCGTACATTATATTATATTAAAAAAATAATAAATAAAAGAAACACAACAAAAAACATGGTTTTAAATTAAAAAAAGGTCATGAGTAGTACATTTGTAAAGAATTTTATAACACAAGTCATCTTTGATTATCAAAAAAAAAAACAAAAAAATGTTTTTATACAACCAATCGAGGGAATTATGATGCATCTATGTATAAGCCCACTATAGGTATAATATCAGGAATATTTTAGGAATATATTTTTTTTCATAGCTCTAGAGTCTAGACGGACGCGCATGCATGGCAATATGGCACTTATATATTATGCGTTTTGAAGTTTTTCAAAGTGTATACTAATTAAATTAAACAATTCATGAACGTGAATATAGTATTAAAATTATACTAAAGCTGTTAAATGAGTTGCTCTTTTACTTATAATATGAATCATGTTTTCATTTGCTTGTTCACTACTATAATTATAACTGATGTTATCGCTGTTCTTTATATCTAAAATAGAGAAAAAATAATTACCTACCTTTACAAGCCTTTCGATGTGTTATGGGCTTAGTAGGATCCCTGTAGTATCCCTCCTTGCAGTAATGACAGTATCTGCCAGCCGTGAAGTGTCTACACTTAAGGCACACGCCACCGCTCACCCGACCCGACAG